GACTCTAGTTAGGTGGGGCTTTTTGTTTATTACATCTGCAATTAGCAGCCCCTAGTGTATATTTATGTGCTGGGTTTGACCTTTTAGCCTGTTGCACCTTCTGCAAGTGCAGATATTTATTTTGTTAGAATGGCACAACCATTTGTCACTGAGCAAAACCTGCAGAAGAGCCTTGTGGTATATAAGTTGATTAGATGTCCTTCAGAAACCTTCTGAAGAAACCAGAACAGCACCTCATTTATTGTTGTAAACAACAAAAAACCTCTTGTGGTAACTGCTGCTAATGTTTGAAGAGAGCTTTTGCTCCAAAGCATGAAGTATACTCTATTTACTTGAGGTTACAGCTGGCAAAGATTTTTCCATCACCACTTAATTTTTTCCTGTAGTTCTCTTGTTCATGTTTCTTCCTCTGACTTTTATAGGAGCATGGCCATAACATATTGAGAAAAGACTCTGCAAAATACAGTTTAGTGTAGTATATTCAGGTCTTGTAAAATAGTGAATTCCCAACAGGATTTTAATTATCAATTAGTGCTGCTTGCAGGCAGACAAATCTATGAATTTCTCAAGTACAACATCCAAGGCATGACTTCAGAGTACTTCAAAGAAAAATGGCTTTGTCAATAGAAACTGCAGTATACTTAACTTAGAGATAAGGTATAAAGTAGGCTCAGAGACATGTATTTTACAATGCTCTCCACTTTTCCAAATAATTTAAGTATCAGTGGAGAGAATAATTTATGGCTCTCAAGAAAGTCCTAATGTGAAACTCCTTTTCACTTTAGGAGAGCAGTACGGTATTGAATTGACTTTCTTCACCAACTTGCAATACAAGAATTGTTGGGAGTGCAGGGCAGGGAGATGTGGTGAAAATAGAATGGTTATATTCCTCTCTAGTGTTTACAGATGGATTGGGTTCCTCTGCATTTAGAAACTTTAGTCTCATTTGTTGTATTTAAGCCAAATTAGAACTTTGTACGCAAACTGTACAAAGAGGGTTAGTGAGTCTCAACCTAGTGAATCATTTTCCTTGATGAAAGGAGCTGGGGGAGATTTTCATCAGTAAAACCTAATAGCAGTTCCACTTAAAAATAATTGTTTTTCTTACTTGCCTGATGTGACCAGTAATTCTGAATAGTGCTGAACAGTAGCAGAAACTGCTTGTGAGAGCATTGTTTAGTTGTGAGGGTATGCCTGTCATGAATTTTTTAGTGTCTTTCAGGGTACTTTGCATACTTAGTGGTCCAAACTGTGTGTTTAGTAACAGTCCTGAATTTTTAGAAGTATATTCATAGGAGTGGTAAGCCAGTTATATTTAATGCAAATGATAGCTCAATTTAATTGCATTTAAAGTAGGATGAGTATTTAAATGTAGAGTATGTTGTTGTATTTAGAGTTTTGAGCATGTCTTTAATGTAGTTAAGGTGGGATTCCCAAACCTTCTGGAAAAATAATTGGAAGGGACTGCAGGCTGGTGTTTGGGAAGGACTTTCACCTGCTTGGGTGGCTTCTCCTGACAGTGCTCCAGGCTCTATTTCCAAAGGAAATTAACTAAACTAGAGATGCCATGGACACCTCAGTTCATGGGTTAGTGCTCTTTTTCTTAGCTGAGCCCAGATCTTCAATGTTTTAGGTGCAGAGAGACACATCCAATGCTTTGTACTTACTGAGGTCCTGCTGAGTCCTTACTGAGAACCTTTGGCTTGCACTAAGGTGAGAAAAGTCATGATTGTTTCATCCCTAAAGAAAATGAACCATATTTTAAATAGTTTGCTAAAATATAGAGTCAGGTATCCCAATTCAGACAGTTGCCTCTGATTGTTGCCCTTGTGGTCTAAATAAGGACAAGACCCAGCAAAACAAAAGCAAGGAGTTAGAAAAATGAAAAAGATACCAACAGGACAGTACCGTTTTTCTAGGTAATTATGTGCAAATATTTGACTCTTAATGGATGATAATTACGTGTGCTTTCAGACATTGCAGAAAGAGTAGGCTTTTGGGGGGATTCACATTCACGGGCTTTGACTGACTGTGATTAATGACAATATTTTGGCAAAATTATTTCTATTGCCATTCCGTAAAGACCAGAAAATGTAAAACACAGTACCAAAGTCACAGGTGAAATCCTAGTTTTACTTGAAAATGCTGAATATGTATGATTAAAATTTAAGAGTTCTCTCTGTAGGAAACTGCAGGTGTGACTATTTTTAATGTAAACTTGTATTCTGTTATGGACTCTTTATAGGTCTGCTTTTGTATTTTCAGTCATAGCCTGAAAACATCTGGCATTACTCGCTTAAATCCTCCTAATCTTCTGTTTGATTACACATGTTCCACTCTAGTTATGGTCCGTCAGAAAAGCAAAAATAAAGCATATTTCATATGTAAAAGTTTTTGACTTGTGTTCATATTAAAAGTAAATAAAGGGAATAAATGAAATTATTCCCTTCAGCCTTTTACTAAGCACTGTTCTCAGAAAAGCAGTTTTTTTGAAGAATGATAACCATCTAAAAATATGACTTCTATTTACATATATTGCAGGTTTATATTTTTCTATTTTTATTTGGATTTTTTTAATCTCTTCCCTGGTAAAAAATCAGCAGGAAGGGTTAGGGTTTTTTAAGACTTTGATACTACTTGTGAAGTCCTTGGTGCTGCTTTCCACTGTATGATAGTTCATTAAACACCTGGTTGTCACGGGATGCTGTTTGCAAGTGCAGTAAATAACAACTTTACCAGTAACTGTCTAAGGGCAGCTGGAAATTTCTGCACTCTGAGGAAATAGTCCAGCGTGCTGACTTGCAACTGTATGACATGAAATGAAAGGCTGCCCCTCCTGAAGACACACGTGTACTTGAAGCTCAGATTTTTGTTACATTTTATTTAGGTGAAGTTAGAAATCTTTGGATTTAGGACCCAGCTCCCATCTGGTTTTGTAACATCTCATGTTTTACAGAACTTGGATAAGCCAGAGCTGCTTTTGAGTGCATGATCCTATTTTATAGATTTTTAAGACATAAAAAATTGAAGCTATTCTATCCTGGCTTCAGGAGCTGTGAGGCTGAATGTTCCTTTTTGTCTGCATATGGGGTTCTACGTATTAATTGTAATGAAAGGCATTTTCTATATTTGCATGTGTTTTATCAGGTAGGAAGTGCTGCACTAAAATTGACTTACAGATTGTAGAAGTGAATTGTGTGATTAAAATTAAAACTGTTTGTAATGGCAAGAATAAAGAATATTATGAATAATCATGGCTGGGCTTCACGAATGAAGATTCAGGAAAGGTCTCTATGAAGCTTAAAAAATGGAAATACTTTCTATTGTAGTGCCTGTAGCTGAGTTCATTTAACTGTGAAGGGTAATTTTTTTTTCTTTTTAAAAAATGCTCTCTACAAGATATACCTTATGCTTGCTTTTAAATCTTGTTTTTCATTTCAAACACACTTTCGTCTCTGGTTAAATTTATGACAGGTGTATAAACAGTCCTTAGCGCCATTTTAACTGTATAAAGAAAATGAGACCCCCAAAAATGGATTTACATTTAACAGTGTTAGATTGGCCTAATTGTTTGCTTCTCTAAATTCTCTTGCTAAATGCTGTACTTCCCCTGTGAGGCCAGTTTCTGTTATTACACAGTGAATCGTGTATGATCAGGCATGGTAGGAGTGAAAATGCTGCCATCACAATGTTAGAAGATGGTTCCTCTATCAGGTAGGAACCTGAGTTTATAGCAGTAGGATATTGAACATGCAAATGTTTACTGTGTATCTTCCACCACATGAAGTATGTGGAAAGGGTTATTTATGGACAGCATCTAGTTTCTTGCTTCTCTGCTTTATGGTACTTAGCTATTCTGTGTACTGAGAAATGGCTGCTACTTAACACCTGTTTATTTCCTCTTTATAATCTTGTTAAAACAGCTCTACCAGGTGTGAAGTCTTTATCTCATGTTCATGTCCTGTTGATGGCATCTTCTGCTCATAAGTCAGTCTTGAACAAAGGCACTTAATGATTCAGTCTGAGTTCGGGATCTATATAATGCGCAGAGCTGGGGAGCAAATTTAGTAAACATACAAAGCTGAAAACAGCCAATTTTTTTTTTTGGTCAAGGTAAATGGTAGCAATATTGTTAAAAAATACCAATTAAAAATGTAACTTAGATGTTTTGATAAAAAAAGAGTTTATTATTTTCCAACCTCCTCCGCTGTTTTCATAGAGTGTATTATTTCCTTCCTGCTACTTCTGTTACAGCATAGAGCTTCCTTTTTTGGACACTTGGGCTCTGTTCATCTAAGTAAACTGTCTATTGCTGTTACTTCACAAATCTTGATCGTGTTTGCTAAGGGAGTAGTTTTGTATCACTCTTGTATTTTAACTCTTTTTAGTTTTTTTTGCTAGTGAGCTGTAACACACCACCAAGAGTCTGTGTGGGTGCTCATGTCAGCCCAAAATGGGACAGAACCACATGCATATGAGCACAGCCTTCAGATAGAAACTTGTGCTGATGGTGGTCCTGGCTGTAGCAGAAACATGATACAAATCATGCCAGCCATCAACTTAACCTTCACTGTGTGATTCTCTCATTTTCCTTGCACTTGCATTTGTGTGATTGTTAATTGTTTATGGAATAGACTACACTGAAAATAAGTAGTTTTTTTTTCTGTCATTTGGTTTGCAGGCAGATTTTTTCCTTGAATCACTTCTCATAGGCACGAAGTGTCAAAGTGATTGAAAAGAAAGGAGGTAGAATTTAAGGCGGCCCAACTGCCCTCTGACTTTGAAACAACAGCTAGAGAGTGATTAAATGATTGAAGTAGTAATTTACAGACATGTCATGGCTAGGCTTCGCGAACGAAGATTTGGGAGGCTCTATCCACATTTGCTACAGTACAGACATGTATGCGTGTAGAATTAAGTGGAAGATTCGATATGAGGCTTGATGGCACATTGAATGCAATTTTCTATAAATCATTTTTTTTCCATACTTTATTTTACAGTTGCTGCTAACTTACAGAAAATAGTAGATGATCCAAAGGCCTTGAAAACATTGACTTTTAAGTTGGTAAGTAACAGCATGAAGGGAAGAAACAAACTAATTATCACAGAATCAACTTTGTGTGAATATTATCTTATTTACAGCTATTTTGTTGAATAAATGTGTTGACAGATGACTGAAATTGCCATGTATGAGTGAAAAAGCTTAAACCCTGTTTTGACAGGAGGGCTCCATAACTGTGCATGGGGAAGGAGGTTCAGTCACGTGAGTTCTGAGGAAGTCTGAGGTTTAGGTGAGAAACTGCAGGAAGAAAACCTATGAGAAGAATTTCAGAAACAAGTAAAGCAGAGAAAACTGTAGTTCCTAGGTTAACACTCCTTCAGCCCCACTCACTTAGCTCTGCCCCAACTGAAATGTCCTCTGCTAATGGACATTTTGTTCCAACCCCATTTTTTCTAACACCTGCCACCATTTTTCTTGCATGCAGGTCACCCTCTTCACTTGCTTCTCCTTAGTTGTTCTTCTCAACCTTCTTTCAGTTGACCATCCACACCTGCAAGTTTATCTTGCTCCCAGTGTATTTCATTACTTTTTCTCCTTTGCTTTCTATCTTCTGTATGTACATCATCAGATACTGGGTTTGGGTCTGGGGCTCTCTTCTGTGCTGCATTTTGTGCCCTGGACCATGGGTCCTAACTTTGGTTGATTTTGATGGTATCATGATAGATCTAATTTAATATTAATAAATTTACATTGCAAAAACTTAAGTCAGAATTGATGTGCTCTGTTTTTATTTCTTGCTAAAATTAAGTTGAAAAATTTATATACTTGAAATTATTGAATTATTGGCTGTGGAAATACCAAGCTCTTACCAATTACCTTTCAGCACCTTTTGCTGAGAGTGACTCATCACATATGAAAAACTAGAATGAATATCTGTTAGATAAGCTTTGTTTATAAAAGCAGCTACTTTAGATGGGTTGTAGAGAGTCATTTTTAGACCTAGCTGATGATAATGTATTAATTCAGGATTGTTGTTCCAGTGTCATTCCTGAAATACAAAGTCGAATAGTTTTAGCTGACTCATTTGGACTCTTCTACAGTCCAGTAAAATCTCCAGAACTGACATGTTTCTTGTGAGAAGGGATTGGGTGGGGGAATAAAGACATGTAACTCACATTATTTTGTTTCTGTGCCCTTTGCTATAAATACAGTGTAACGGCTGATGCTTCCCTTTTTGCAGCTGATCTGTGCTCTTGCTGCCTAAACATCTGAATTGGCTTTATTGTGTAATCAATGGCTTCTCAGTAAGAGCACTTAGATAGATAGATACTCCTGAGGCTCTACAGAAGTCTGAGTTTCTTTTTCACACACTTAAAATAGAAATGAGAAATTCCAAAACGTAATATCCCATAGTATTCAGGTTATATATGCTGAAAACAAATCCTCTTGAAAATTTAGGTTCGGGTATTTCTGCGTTTCAGTTGGATTTATTCCTGGGGTGCAGTCAATGTCACATGGTATGTGAATGCTGCTATCATCCTTATCCTTACCTTAATCAGAATTAATAGACAATGCAAACTCAATGTCTCTGTCCCTTCTGAAGGTAAGTTGCATTGGCTAGATAACAACTCCTGAGGTTATTTTTTTACCTAAGTTTCTTCCTGATACTTTTGCTCTAGGTTTCCTGCATTAGGTCCCTACTTCACGGGAAAAGAACATAACCACGAGAAATATACTAATTTATTATTATTATTGGATTACTTTAATGTATGTTCCATTTCTACCTGTTTCTGTATTGCGTAGTGAAGTTGCTAAATTAATTGTGGCCTAGGAGAACTGTGTCATATCTTTGTATGCCCTCCTGGGTCTTTGCTACCTCTTAGCAAGATCTCACTGAATTTGAGAGCATTTGTATACAACTTGATTAAAATAATTTTGTTGGTAAATATTTAATGGGGATTCAAGGTCTAAATGTAGGTAATCCTATATTCATTCAGAGAATTCAGCTGAAAAGTACTCCTTAGTCTAGGATTAGTTACTTCTATTTGTGGACAAAGAATCTCATTAGTATCTCATTGCTTACAGATTGCTTTTGCTGATATTTTGCTGGTATAGAGTATTTCTATTCAAATGGCAAGCATTTCATCTTTTGGGGGAAAAAAAGAAACAATTTATGTCTTAACTACTTTTGTCTTTAATTATTACCAAAATGGTAAAGAAAATTTTTAAAGTGAGGTGCCTCAATGGCAGGGGTTGGATTCTCCCTCTTGCGTATTTTTGAAACAGCATATTTTTGATCTTAAAATGACATTATTCTGCAGAAGGTATATATAGTATTAAATCTCCCTTAGTTGTCTTGGCTAACACAGAATTAAGGCTTCCCTGCAGGATCCACCTGTCCACGCTTTGGGAAGGAGGCTGCTTTAATACACATGTAATCGTGGCAACACTCAAGGAAACACAGAATTATTGCACAGCATAATTTGCATTTCATATAAGGATTTTTTTTTCTGAAAAAGGGTGGGAAAAAATACTAATGAAGGAGTGCATTCAGTCACTACTGAATACTTTCATGTTGCAGTTTGTGTATAGTAGTTGTACTTACACTAAGCACAAAATCTAAGCTGATAAATTCCAGGTGCATTAAATAGATATAAAATGGTATTCATTGACAAGGAAGGCATTTAAAAATCTATATGCATCTAGATATGTTACTTACATGGCTTTGAGAAGATTGACAGCTAGCTAGAGTGTAGAATGATGTAGTAGTGTTAGCTCTTTTTAGCATTTCAAGTGCAAATCTGCATTTATTTAGTAAATTCCCAATTCAAGAACCATTCAAATATCTTAATACTAACCAATGGTGATGATCTCAGATCTTTAACTTGCTGCTTCAGTGAAATAACAGCTGTGAAATACTATCTGAAGAGAGAACTTCTGTTCTCTGTGTCTGCTCAAAGTAAATTTTAAAGAGTAGCCTGATGTAATGCTTCCACAAGTGGCAACACAGTTTAAGTTTGGTCATGAAAATTGAGTGGATTGTGTCACTTGGCGCACCTTGTATGCACAGTCTGAGAGCTCTTTACCATATACTGCATGAGCACGAACCACATCTATTAAAGGGTTCAACTGCTACTCGTGCATGAAAGGATCAAGAGAGTTTTTATAGGGTGAATCAATTGTTCTGTTGAGGATTTTTCGGGATATGCAAAAGAATCTGAAGGCATCTGTCATAGCTAACTTAGAACTACACACTTTTAATCCAATTGTATTATTGTTTTATCTACCACACAGATAAAAATGCATGAAAAACTTTATTTAAAATGTAGTTACTTCTGTCCTACAGAAAAAAATTTTGTATTTAAAAATGAAAATATAAAAATATTTTGCCTCCAGCATATTTTTTTTTAAAGCAGACCTAAAGTAACAGTTCAGTCCTGAGCAAGGTGGGTTTATATCCTTACCATTATATGTGAAAAAAGAACTGATCACTTGTGCCAGTTTGTAAAGCCAGTTTGTGACAGGCTTTTCTGAGGAATCTCAACTATACAGTTTCAAGTACTAGACTGTACTGCTAGAAGGGAGCTGTCCTTTTGCAAATATTAGTATTTACTCTTCGTAGACTGCTTCAGTTTCTTGTTTGAAAATTTAGTTGGTTGGTATTCCAAACCGACTTGCTGGCTGGACTCATGAGACATTTGCTGTGTATAGCACAGTGGTAAAAAGTGGATTCTATACATGTGTATTAATTGCTGTTCATGAGTAAAAATAGCATACTCACATGAAAAATTTGGCTCCAGTTGGGAAACTTTAATGTAAAGAACTTGGGTATTTCAGAGTTCATTTTCCAGTATTTTTTTTCCATAATCTTTAATATTGATTACAATGGTTTGCTAAAATTAAGGATGCAATTGGCTGGTGTTGACAGAGGCTACATCAAGCAGTCTGAAAACTTTTATTCAACCAAGCTGTTTGCTGAGTAGGCTATATGGGGAAAATTTATATCCTGGCTGTCAGATCCTCTGTTGTAGTGTGATATACTAAACATTTCTGTTTGTACTTGCAGGCCTCTGGCTGTGATGGCACTGAGATTCCCGATGAAGTGAAACTGATTGGTTTTGCTCAGTTAAGCGTCAGCTGATGTCTGTCCCTTGACCCCAAGCCGAATTTTGAGATTGCGAAGAGGCCAGCTTAGATGCAAAGGAAAATTAATGCACCACACACTGAGTTCTGCTTCATTATCTAGCAATTCACAAAGTCAGAACAAGCAAAGCCCACAGCTACACTGCTGCTGTTAACATTCAAAATGCTCCTAAATGTCTCTTAGCAGTTGATTTGGATTCCCCCTAGGTGACAAGCTTGTGGAAGTACACTCAGGTGGTTATATTTATTGGTTACAAAAGGAATTTTCTATCAAGCTTACTTCTTTCATAAACTTTGAGTGATACTATTCTACCTGTACTTGTGGTTGATAATACTGCCTCTGTTCTGTTCTATTTAGAAATTAACATACATATGAAAGTTTAGAATTATTAGCCAAACTTGAATTCTAGTTTTAAAAATGACTGTGAATTTTATTTTTCATATATTTATGCATTACAACACTAGTAATAAGAAAATGATTTGACTTGATTATGTACTATTTGCAGTTAATCTCCCACTATTTAAAAAAGTTTCAGGTATGTCTTTGAAGTATTTGGTAACTTCTAGGGGTTTTTTGAAATTAATTGATTCGGCATTAGCAAACTTTTGTTGGTTGTGTGTCAAAAAACCAGTCCACAAACTGATTGTCAAGGGAGTGGGAGGTGCCTTGCAGATATTAATGTTTTAAGAATGTGCCTGAGGCTGCTTATATAAATAATCTCCATTTTCTAAGTACCGTACATATGGTACAACATATATAAATATATATATAGTTATCTGAGCAAGGAGGGGATATACAGTAGCAAAGATGTTAGAGTATTTTGACTATGCTTTATTGGGGAGTCTATGAGCTAGAGCTATTTTGAACTGTTGTTGTTAAGGTAGAATGCGTACTGTGTCCATCTCTGACCTGACTTACCCTTAATGACAGAAACCGGTTTCATACAGGTGATAAAAACTTGAAGAATGGAACTGAAGCTTTATTTCAAGTTCTGTAGAATACCAAGGTGGAGTGAAAATAATAGGGCTTTGTGCAATGATCAAGTAAAACTCTGTTACAAAGAAAACACGACCCAAGTAGTCTTCTGCTTAACCTGTGACATAGATGTTATGGAGCTAGTGAACCTTAGAAGGAATTCCAAATTTGGAGACATGTTTCTCAGAGGTTACAATTTAAACTACTTCCTAGCTAATCCTAGATAAGCGGCAGCTCTGTAATGTACTGAAAATGGCAAATATATATTATTAAGAAAAGTTATTTATAATGCCTTGTTATAATCGTTGAGGTGTTCTAGAACCATTTGCATACGACTCAATGTAATCCCATCCCATCCTACTGTTTACATGATGATTACTCCAAGATGACTGCAAAGGTTCAAAAAATAAAGTAAAAATAAAGGTGTATTGCGCAAACTGATTTGTGTTTCGAATTTCCATGTTCTGTGTGCATCTCAGTGGCACAGAGGTGCTGCAGGGCCGTGTTACAAATGGCTGCTGCCCTTACTTTGTTTACAAGCAGCACCTGAGAAGGAGGAGAGAAGGAATTGCTACCTGCTCTCCACTGCTTTGCAGAAGCCATTTTTAAGACTCCCAAGGTGTTTGTACTTAACTCCCAAGGTGTTTGTACTTAAAGAAATAATTTGTGTTTCTGGCCCTGTGTGCCTGTGGGGTGCTGGTTGGTGTGAGAAGAGACAGGGACGGCCCGGGGTAGGGCAGGTGGTCCCAGCTGAGGCGTGTTTGGGCTGATGAGGCCCCTGGGGGTGATTGGTGCCCTCAGAGCCCTTGGTGGGTGAACTCCAGCCCAGGGCTTTTGGGGTTTTGTCAGCCCTGGAGCAGCCGAACAACAGCGGTAAGTGAGCCTTTCCCCTGTGACGTGGGCACTGTGGCCAGCCTTGGCCCCAGGGTGTCTTTGCGGGTGTGGTGGGCAGGGGACCGGCCCCAGCTGCCTGTGACAGTGCGGGGACGGTGCTGCCCCCGGGGAGCTCGGCTGTGCTGGGTGGGAACGCATCGTGTCCGGGCTGGTGATGGCTCACCTTTGTGTTGGAGTATGGAGCAAACTGAAAAGGTACCTTAAACGTGCGTCTATCAGTGACACAGTTGATAACCTGCAACACTGCGACGGGGTGGTTGCTGAGCAGAACCGGGAGGAGTTAAATGCTGAGCATTGCAATTGGTTTATTTTTGTTACATATGTTAGTGTAGACTTCTCTAAACATTGCACCTCTATTGATTAATCCATCTGCAAAGTAGTTAGCTGGTTACATTTGTTTTCCAGAGGAAAAAAAAAATAAAATGTTCAGGGAAGCTTGTTGTTTCCACAGATCAAAAAAAAGAAGTGGGAATATATATTTTGATGAAAATCATGTTCCACTCACTATACTCTTCCCCAGAGGCTGGGGAAGAGGTGTTGGGGTATGAATAGCAACTGTCAAAAGTGCTCATCTGCTGTGGTGGTTAGGGCTGCAGGAGGTATCTAAATAAAGAATGTAATGCTTTAATTGTGGCAATCAGCAGTATTGTGCCAAGATAAAGTGGTAACAGTTGTTGCTCACTTGTGGTCTGATATAGAAACATGGTGATGCTTCACTGGGCTTCCTGGATTCAGTGAGACAGCAAATTCGTGCAGCAGTGTTATTTATCTCATCTGTGTTGGTTTCTTAATATTTTTTTTGTTGCTGCCAAGATATTGTGAATAAATACAAAGTGAGCAGAATTAGTTTTTGAAAAAGTAGAAAGAAAGAAAAGGTAGTTAAAGCCTTAGTGTCCATTAAAATTAGTTTATAAGTAGTTTATTCTCTCGGTACATACAGGTGGAAAAAAAAGGTGAAAATATATGGTACATTGCACTAGAAAGCTGTGCAAGCAATGAAATAAATATCAAATGTAATAGGAATTTGCTTCCTGAATGCTGTATTTGCATCTTTTGTTAAATAATAAGTGAAAAGAGAAAATCAGTAGCTATTCATTTGTTCATGTTTACATGAAAAGCATTTAGGAGGTGGGTAAAGTTCTCATGTGTATGTCATGACTCATCCCAAAGCAGTTGTGATGCTTCTGTTAGAAAGGTGTTGCCGGCTGCAGCACCTGTCTGTGTTTGAAGGAAGAGGTCTCTAATTAATGAGGTGAAGCTGTAACAAGTGAGCTACCATCTAGTTGTCTCTAAGGCCAAGAAAATAGGACTTAATTAGATGCTGCTAAAAATATAATCATCTCTGGTGATTATATGCCAGTGCTTGCAGCTGGGCACTTGCAGGCTCTGTGGGCTGATTAATGTCAGTGTCCATGGAGCCAGCCATGCCAGTGGGCTCTGCTTCACTTTGCTGAAAGTAGCTCTGTGGGCTGAGATGAAAGTCAATTGATGAAACACAGTTCTGTATTTATTATTTTAAAGTGTTAGAAAGGATGAATATAAATGTAGAATTTAGATCACTACAAAACTAGGCCTGGAGTGTAAAGGAGTGGGAGAGGAGGGACATTTCCAGCATTTTATCTCCTGGGACTCCAGTGTGGGCTTTAGGTCAGAAAAGCTGCCTCCCATGCTGGCAACATATGCTTTTCATGCCAAGAGAACAAGAGCACATCTCTCTTTCTTCTGACGAGTGCTGACCTCAGATATTCGCACCAACAATACAGTTTTGCATTCAAACTGAAATTCAGCTAGCTAGTTGGGATAAGTATTCTTGCTTTCTAGAATATTATCTTATGTACCATCACAATTTCCTCTATCAACTTCCCTGCCCCAGAGCATATTTCTGCTTTGTGCATGGAAGTGGAAGGGGGAAAAGGGAAATAAGTCAGGAAACATAATTTAATTTTTTTCTCTCCGTGTTCTCCCCTGAGATAGAGATGTGTATCTCTTCACCCAGCTTGGTCCAATTTCACATCTCCAATTTTGGGGCTTCCAGAATGGTCTGATAAAATTTGGTTGTGGGATATCTGTTCAGAATGTTTTAAAACACTGTTATTTCTCTGAGAAGGAAATGCTGTGTGCAGCTTGTCAATGGTGTACCTTTCTCTCATGCTTTTCTTCAATCAGAGATTTGTTTTCCTTTTCATCACCTACCTCTGCATAATGATGTTGGATGGTGAGATTGGCCTGCGCCTGAAATCAATTAGCTGTGATGAGGAATGTGACACACACCTAAAACACTGCTAATTGAGTGCATTGAAAATGCTGATTTCTGTTTAGCAGGAGCAGAGGATGTTGCCGCCTGCTCCCCCCTCATCCCCCATATTTTATCAAAACTGCAAAAAAAAAAAAGACCTTGTTGATAATGAATAGCAGTTGGTCTATTTTTCCTCTGAATCAATTGTGATATAACTTTATTCAGTCAATTGCTGGTTTTTTTCACTGCATCAAGTGGGCAGCCTTTCCACCCTCTTGCAATGTACTCATGCATGTGCACACACAAAGAATACTAATTACTTTAAAATAAGATGGAAAAGTAGCAGGAGCCCATATCTTCAAGTTTCCTGTCCATGAGCTCTGCTAATGAGCAGCTAGATTTACTCAAACGATGAAAACTCCAACAAAGTTTTATTATACAGACGTCCAGCTGATGAAACATCTAGACATATTAGTTGAGTATTGTGACATTTTAGGTTTTTATTTCGCCTCAATGACTAAGAGTAACATTGCAGTGCACATAAAAATGTGTTTTTATAGCTGCTTTATGATTGTTAGATTGATGCTCATCAAGCTGCTTGCATAGTTGTTGTTATCTGAGATGTTGAATCAAACTCAGGAGTTGTGAAGTTGTCTACTGCTAATAACGTTCAGAATATGGAAAATAGTGGATCAATGAGCAAATACAGGGATTTGGAAGAGTGTGTAGTAAGGAGAAATGTAATTTTCACTGCATAAACCAATAGGGAGGCAATCTTGTTCTTCTTGGGACATTAATATTTTGCCATCTAATTTTCAAATGTGAACTTGAAAAGCTATGCTTGTTTATTGTCTCAGTAGAGTGTAGAAGATCACTTATGCAATTGGATGCATTTATGTAGACGAACAGCCATAAGAAGTAGAATTGGAATAGATGGGAAATACATGCCTTTCTTTTCTTATTTTTTCCCATAGGTACATGTTTTAAGAATTAGTGAAAACCAGATATCTTTCAAATATAGAGCTTTTTTATTTATTTATTCTTATGGAAAAAACCCAAATGGTTACATATTTTTTTTTCATCCACATAAAAATTCAGATTCATTAACAAAAGATACTGCTCTTGCATAGGAGTACTGGGTTCTTTAGATTTACTTTGAGCAAGAGGCTTTTCTAGTTTTGTCATGTTTTCTCTGCTTCAGCAGACCCCATCGATCTAGCTTTCTTTCCTTTGAGGAGAGTTGAGGTATAACATCTCAAAATGTAAAGGAATTTAAGGTTATTTGGTAATGCAACTGTCCCTTCACATGAAAAGCAGTGTGTGTAGCTGCCATCAACAGGCATTCTAAAAAATGAAGCAGAAGAAGCAGTGAGGGTCCAGTGATTTTGAGTAGGTGGACTCTGTGCTACTCATGTCATATAAAACTAAGTAAATAAATAGGCAAAAAGATTTTATCTCCCAGTAGTAAAATTTCTCTGTTCTGGAAGATGCAGTGTGTAGTGCTAAACTGCCTCTTTAAGGGAGAGGCCTGCATTTCTGCCCGCATCTCTGTTTTTGAAAGCTTGGAATTGGTTTTAGGAAACATTCTGGTATTGGGGGGGGGGTGGGGGAACCCACCAAAAAAATGTAAATAATTTGTAATGTAAAGGGCAAGGAAGGTTTTTGAAGGCTGTTACCTTAACCTGTAAGTTTGCTAAAAGCTTGCTTGTTTCCTTCTGGCAAAATAATATCTTTTGCCAATGCCCTGCATTGTGCCAATGCTCTATTATTGACCCAGAAAGAACTAAATACTATATTAAAGAACAAAGTATAAAATCAAATGGTCAGCAAACACGACCTTGTCCAGATCAAGGGAGGTGTGGATGTCAATCCTTCCTCTTCTCCCAAGCTTGCTTGTGTTTTAATCAGTCCTGCTTCCTGCTGCCCACCACTCTGTTCCTAGGCTGCCTGGTGGGAGGAGGCTCCTGTGCAATGGTGCAGCAGCACATCCCACCTCGCTGAGGCTGCTCATCACCCTCGCAGTGAGCACCGGGCTGGGGCCTTTGGCCCTGAACATGCCCAGGCAAGAGGTGAGCAGTGCTCCATTATGATATAAAAAGTACCTTCTTAAAGGTAAACTTGCTATGTCTTTTTTTGCAGGACTTTGTACTTACACCAAGAGCTATATTTTATGGTTTTCTAGGTTGTGTCAGTTGCAGACTTTTTTTAGCATAAGCTGAAAGCTGCAGCTTTATGATAGTGCAAGATGTGCAATTTGAGAAATTAAAAATGCCTAACCATTTTTTTCAGCTCTGTAGAAAGGTTTTTGTGA